TCCAGCTGTGGGGTCCCTGTCCCTTTAAGACTTTCAAAAAGTGCTCGCTTTTCTTTGTCCCAGGGGTGCTGGCTGCAGGACCCACTCACAGGTCTTACTGTCCTGCTTCCCTAGTTTCCAGCACCCCCCGCATGCACTGTGTCTACGCTCTGGTGCAGATGGCTGGGGCTGGGTTTTTAGTAATCCCGGGATCCCTCTCCCTCCCCGCCCCGACTCCTCTCCTCCCGCTGGGGGCTGGAGTGAGAGGCACTTGGGTCCCGCCGGGCTGCAGCTTGTATCTTACCCCTTCCACCAGGCTCTGGGTTCTCGCAGGTGTGGATGTAGTCTGGCTGTTGTCCTGTGTCTTCTGGTCTCTCTTTTAGGGCTAGTTGTATTTGTTGTATTTTAAAAAATATATATGTTTTTGGGAGGAGATTCCCACTGTCCTACTCATGCCGCCATCTTGGCACCGCCCCTTCCAAGATAGTCTATTTTTTAATTAACATGCTCATGCTATTTCTCAATTTTCAATTTTAAATAGTATCCTTAAACTTTTATGATGGCAGATGGAATTTAGCTCCTTTTCCTGTCCCCTCCCCTTATGCTTTCAGCACAGTGTGATATAACCATTTTGGTTAAATCAATATTCAGTGTTTACATTACTAGGACTCTAGAAGTATTATTTATAGCTGAGCTGTCTCCTTTCTTGTACTACTGTTTATTTTCCTGGGGTTTATTTACTTACTTTTTTATATGTCTGTGGTATGCTCTTCTTTTAGTGCAGCATTGCTTCTCAGCACATCTGAGCAGATCAGGTCACCTCTGTAGCCCTGTCTCCCCTTGCTCTAGCCAGTATTGGTCACCCTAAGCCTACTGCACAGCCGTGGGCCTAGCACTTCATTTCTCCGTCATCCTTGGAAGTCTCTTCACCTTTGTCCCTTCTGGATCCCCTATTTTTTGGTCCTGTGTTGTTATCCTTGGATATCTCATTTGCAAATATATTCTCTCATACAGTAGGTTGCCTTTTCATGGTTTCCTTTGCTGTGCAGAAGCTTTAAGTTTCATACAGGCCTCATTTGGATGAAACATTCTCTAGTAGCTTCCCAAGGAAAGGGGTATAAGAGAAATCTTTGAGACACTGTCTTAAACTGCCTTCATTTTACTCATGCAATTGATCTATGGCTTGCTGGACTTAGAAATCCTTTTCTCCACAGCCAACATTTGTTGTTTCTTGTCTTATTAATAGTGGCCATTCTCACTTGTGTGAGGTGATAGTTCATTGTGGTTTTTATTTGTATGGTTAGTGATGTTGAGCATCTTTTCATGTGTCTGTCAGCCATCCATTGGTACATCTCCTTTAGAAAAATGTCTATTCAGATCCCTTGCCCATTTTTTAATTGGATTATTTGTTTTTTGGTGTTTCGTTGTATAAGTTCTTAAATATTTTTGATACTAGCCACTTATTGGATATATATGAAATTAATCATGTCTGACCTCTGTCCAGTGTCGGAAAACTGAGTTTCCTTGAAGGTCAGAAATTTGTGAGATGCTTCTTGGCCTCCCTCTGTGCTCCCTTTTACACTCCCCACTCTCCCTTCTTTTTCACTGCCACATCCTTAGACTCTTCTCTTAAGCCTCGAATGATCCTGCAGTGTCATTGTTGGTCTGTTAGAGACAGTATGGCAGGAGCAGGGTAGGGGAGGTGTCCAGTGGGAATGTGTTGCTTTGAAGGCTTCTCAAGGACCTGGGACTAGGAGCCATCTCATGAAGTTCATTTTTTCTATGCTTCATGAAGTAAAAGGAAAGAAAGATGTAAAGATAAGATTTTACAAATAGTAAAATAATGTATTAACAAGGAAGCACTTGCCAAGGGCAGGTTTGGAGAGGACTGATGACTGAGAGGGGGCAGCTGGCTGTACTCCATGCATCTGAAGAATGAGTCCTTAATCCTGAGGAGCACCTGGGTGACAGCAGTGTTTACAAAATCTCTCCTGTGTGCTGCTGGTATCCACATCTTCCTGTAGGTTTTGGGTCTTCTTCCTCCAGGATTCTTGTGGGCTTCTTTTCCTAGGGAGAACTTATAAGAAGATCATTAGTGGGACCGATTACCACCTCTTTGCTGCAGCTGTCTCATGCCATAACTGATACCATGACCTTCTTCTCCTGACCCCCTTCTTCTGGATTCCCTTCACATCTGTCTGACACCTGACTCAGGGAGCTGACCTAATTATATGACTCAGACTCTGATCCTTGAGGGTATGAGCCCCTGACCATGCTGTACTCTGGCCATGGCTGCTGCACATTTCCTTTTACCATCACTATTGGGCAAGTGTGCACTGCAAACTACCAACCGTCACCTCTGTGCCAAGCACACACCTCTCTGACCCCATTGTATAACAACAGTCCTACATGTTCCTGCTGGCTCACTTGTCCCTGCCAGGAGGGTGACTCCTCTTCTTTCCTATTGGTCCTTTGACTAGAGGAGCCTCTGGTGGCCATAGCTTAAAGTTTGGTGGGATTCTTACTGTGTCTTTTAGTGGAAGTGTTTCTGCTTAGGGAATCAGACTTATAAACCTACAGCACTTAGAGTTGCAGGGGCAGGAAGCACAGATTTCCCAAGTTGGTCCCTGTAAGCAATGGTCTGCAAGGCCACTCATATATCCATTTTGACTCCTGGATCCATGTATTCTGCCTGTTAGGGATATAGCACCATATAGTAGCCATTGATTTAGAGGTACTGTAGCGTGGAGGATGGCATAGCATCTTCACATGGTGTCATCTCCAAGCTGATGCTTAAGCTATGCCATCAGCCGGCCTGTCATCACTCTCTCCATCTGGCATCTTTTGGATGGTTCAGAATATGAGGAGGCCAGGGAGCCCCAGGATCTTGTGTGCACTGCTGACATGGGATGGGTCCACCTGGGTTAGCTTGCTACCAGACAGCTAGCTGGCCTCTTGACTAGGGGCTCTGTACTGGTCTCTCTTATTGCCATAGTAAGTGTTTGGCAGTGGGAGTAGCCAGATCAGCCTTGGTGAATAGAAGTCCAGTCTTGTGTTGTTTGCATTTTTCTTCTTATAAGTGTTTGCATTTTTCTTCTTATAATGGTTAAGAGCCATTTATGTTTCTTTCATTGTGAGTCATAAATTCATATTTCTATAGGGTTCCTGGTTGTCATCTTGTGTTTTTAGAAGCTCTTTTTATATTAGAGATATTATTTCTTAATAATATGAATTGCAAATATTTTTCCCAGTATTTTTTCCCTTGCTCATGCTGTTTTTAATATAATGAAATTTATCACTCTTTTTATGGCTTCTGGATTTTGAGTCATAGGAGAGTTTTCCCTACTCCCAGATTATGAAGGAACTCACTGATTTTTCCTTTTAGTTCTTCTATGCTTTTCTTTTTTACATTTAAATTTCTGATTCATTGGGAAGTTATCAGGGGTATGGTGTGAGGAATGAATCTAATTTTTCATTATGAATGTTCAGTTCCCTCAACCCAACTTGTAAAAAGTCCGTTTTCCTCCAACTGACATAACTTTAATTTCCATATGTAATTGGCTTATTTCTAGACTTCAGTTCCATTCCAGTGCTTTATCTGTTCATGTCCTAGTACTAATCTCAGTTTTAGAAACTTTTTATAGGTTTTAATAAGTGGTTGAGCTGGCTGTCTTCTCAATTCTCTTCTTAGGGTTTTCTATTCTTGTTTGTTCATCCCAATGAATTTTCTGATCAGTTTGTTTAGCTCCAGAAAATAACTTGAGGCATTTTATTGCCATTATTTTAAATGTATAAATTTACATAGGAAAAAATAGCTTCTTTATGATACTGAGTTTTATTGCGCAAGGTATGTATTTTCTATCTGTTCAAGTCTATTTTCTATCTTTCAGGAGTTAAAACACTCATAGGTTTGGACATTTCTATCACCTGACATGACTTTCATATAATCTTGTTGATTTTTTTTTGACTTAATTTTAGTCTCGAGCATCATCCTTTTTAGGATAAAATGACCCATTTCTGGTTTCTGTCATAATTTCTGTAATTAGGACAAACCTCTCGTGAAACCCATGTCAGAGGTTCTATAGATCTGGTTTGTATCTGGAAGAGAATCCTAGCTTTGTTGGGTTGTGGTCATTCTAGATTAGATAATAAGAAACCTATTCAGTTATGAGTATCTTTCCCCCAGTTGCTGAAACACTGTTGTCAGTGAGTCAGCAGCCTGACAGTGACATGGGGTTCTCTGCAGTGGCCCTTGTATGTTGTTGTTGCTAAGTCTGGATTGTCCTTAATATGTCAGGATATTTTATTACCATGGAAAAGACATGCGATGCATATATAACTGAGGGATATCTGCTCTTGATACTCAAGCATGTTGTGGGAGGGAGTGAATGAAACAATACTTTCAAAGAAGACATGAAACAGAAAAACTACCACTATGAGATTCCCCAAAAGATAAAGTCTTAAAAAAATCAGCTAGATTTCATACCACTTAGTCAGCTTGAGAGAAGCTCTGTGATCTTCATATATGGAATATACAAAAAGTGTGCCTCTTTCCTCTGTGCTTTGTGATGCACACACACACGCACGCGTGCACCACTGCCATCCCCCACTACTCTCTCAAGGGTTCCTTGAGATTGGTATTTGGTAAAATGATGTTGAAGATTAGTGGTGAGCTTTCTTGTGTCTTCTGCCTTTTGCTTGGTATCTGACAAGAAACTACTGAGATGAACTGAAGTGTTTAGAAGGTCTAATTTTTGTATGTAAACTGATTCCTGACCACAAAGCTGATCTTCTTTCTATACTAGTGCCAAGTCCTTTCTTGAATGATTTTGCATGTATGTCTATCCTGTTTCCTGATCCATCCCTCTTTCCCCAAGCCCTCATCAGTGATTATAGGGAAGGAGGGGTAATAAAAAAGAAATTAAGATTGGAGAATGAGTTGTGCAGAGCCTGGGGAAGAAAGTACAGGAGTTACTATTGCTTCTTGGAGCTAATTCTTTGTGTGTGACCACCGTGTATAGATGGAGTCGTTTATGCTTGGGGCCACAATGGATATAGCCAGCTTGGGAATGGGACAACCAACCAAGGCATCGCTCCCATCCAAGTCTGTACCAATCTCTTGATCAAGCAAGTGGTTGAAGTAGCTTGTGGCTCACATCATTCAATGGCTCTGGCAGCTGATGGAGAGGTAAGTGCCCAGCTTTTATTCTTTTTTTAAACTGTGGTAAGATATACATAATATAAAATTTGCCATCTTAACCGTAAGTTCAGTGACATTAAGCACATTTGCATTGTTGTGCTCCATCCATCTACAGAGCTTTTTATCTTGAAAAACCGAAACTTTGTAACCCATTAGACAATAACTTCCCATTCCTCCTCACCCAGCCCCTGGCAAATTCTACTTTCTGTCTCTGTGATTTTGACCACTCTCGGTACATCCAGTGAGTGGAATCATGCAGTATTTGTCCTTTTTTGTGATGGCCTAATTTCACTTAGGATAATGTTTTTAGGGTTCATCCATGTTGTAGCATGTGTCAGAATTTCCTTCCTTTCTAAGGCTGAATGACACTGCATTGTATGCATATGCCATTCATCTGCCAATGGTTGAGTTGTTTCCACCTTTTGGCTATTATGAAAGTGCCTTACTTTAAAAAAAAATAAAATGACCGTATTTGTACTTTGTATAGTGTGAACACAGCAGCCCTGTGTGCAGAGCTAGAAGCATCATGGGAATACTCTTTTTATTATCAGGACTACTTTTTTGACAGTAGACTTCAGTTTTAAGGCAGTTGAGGTTCATGCTCTTTGCTAAGACTACAAATTAAATGTGTATGACAGTGTTCTGTACTTTTTCTTTTAATTACTCCATTCCTTAAGCTCTATCTTGTTTTTCAGTAAATGTAATTGAGATAGGGACCATGAATGTAGTCAGAGTAGGGTTAGGCCCTCTGGAGGGGGCAGGGTAGGATATTTGCAGTCAGAGCAATGTAACTACATGCAAGGAAACCCCCCCTGCTAAAACTCTATGTTTAACATTGAGCTCTAGAATCATTCCTCAGTGAAATCAGTTAATGTTCACCACATAAAGAAATGTAACATACGTTTTATTATGCTAAACATTTGTAACCATGTAGAAGATTCACTTTAGCATACTAAAAGGCCCAGGCCTATGTGCTCTTTCCTCCTTCAGATCTGAGGAGGTGATTTTGCAAACTGAGCAATTAACTTAGCATGCAGACCCAGCTGTAGACGACATGGTAAAAGGCAGGAAAAATTCCATCTTAAAGATAAGGTTGCATTTTAACACCCAGGAAGTTCAAGAGGCAAGATTCTTTAGCAAGTAGACAATACCTCAGCCCACCTTGGGGGCTGGGCAGGCAGCCTTTTGATATGCTCCCAGACCAAGGTGCCGATATCCCAGAGAGAAATCAAGGCAGGAAATTCCTTACAGTTAAGTTAATTTTTAATATTTAGGGACCACTTAACAAGTCCTCACCCCTAAGTTTTTCCATGTTCTCAAAAAATCCTCAACTGCCTATAAAACCCCCTAGACAAAACAGCACTACAGACTCTCTTGTCCCCTCCTGGTTACATATTAAGCTCTGTCCTCTCACTTTATCTCTAAATAAAAGCCTGTACCTCGCTCTCCTACCTTGGCTGTTTGTGAAGCTCATTCTTTGGCTCCGCAAACAAGAACCCTGGCATCATCTTGATATAGAAAATATTCTAATGCATACTATACCACTTCTTCACCCCGCCAAGTTACATGCTTATCTTAAAGGTTACTCGTCCTATTGATTCTACCTTTTAATCTCTTGTATCATTTTGTTTCTTGACATTCCTGTAACCCTAGGGCAGGCCTTGCCGTCTGCCCGTGCTATTGGTGAAGGGCCCCCACCAGTAAGATGGCAAACTTCCGGCTTCTCTTTGGGGTCCTCGGTTCCCACCGGCGCCACCTGAAGCCCAATCACCTCTCGCTCCCCTCCCAATCCCAGCACCTAGCCAACAGCCACCAGCCCCGTAGAAGTGACACCTCAATCAATTCATGCCCCTTCCTATATAACCCAGCACCTTTCCCTAATAAAGCGGAACTCTCCGGTGAATTGCTGCTGTGTGTTGCTCCTTTCCTTTCAATTGGAATGGTCTTTTTTTATTCCATAGCTTTTTAATTGGTCTACCTGTGCAGTATTACTTCTGTGCTCCCTGTGTTTCTAAAACACAAATGCGATCCTGTTGTCCCCATTTAAGTCCTTCCAGGGTATTACAGTGGTTTTCCTAAGTAGAGTGGATTATGGATGAAGGGATGAAGAAACCAGTGAAGCTCAGGGAGGTCAAGGTTTTATGGCTGGAATAGGCAGGAGCCCAGCCTAGCATGTGTCTTGGAATCTACTGTGCCCTACTTGTTGCTTGGTTAGTGGTACCCCAGGTCCCATTTTTTAAGTAAAAGGCCATGCATTGCAGGTGCACTTGGGATATTTAAGTAGAAGTGCCAGGAAAATGATTGTTAAAATTAGAACTCTTTCATTTGTACAGCCTGGATTCTGGTTTATTTTAGCCTTAAGCATATGTTACTTTGGATAATTGTGCTAAATACTCACATTATTGTACTAGATATTCCTGTGAATCCACTTTCAGGAAGTGTTGCAGGTGATTTCTTCTGTACCTGTGAAGTGAACCATAGCACATACTCTTTGAAGACATGAGCAGTGGGTCTTACTGGGCCTTGGGCAGCACCAGATATGTGAACATGGAAAGTGCTCTCAGTGGGTGGTGGGAATCAGGATGATAAAGATCCCTTCCTGCAGGCAAGTTAGGGAAGTGGGGTCCTTAGACATTCTCCTGGTGTTGGAAGAAGTTATTTCCTCATCTATCAGCTTCCCCCTGCACCAAACCTCTCTGGCCACACTCTTGTTTGTTAGAATTAGTTGGTAATTAATTTGAAATGATGTTTTGTTTTGTTTTTCACCTTTGTTAGTGTAAGATAAGCCGGAATAAGCAGGCAAAGAGAGGCAACAAAGGGCCAGGTGATTTATTTAAATACCCCCGGGTGATGTTCTCTTGGCTTGGGTAGGGAGGTAGGGCGCTTATAAGGGATTAGGAGGGGGAGGAGTGGGCAAGCTATCCTAAGGGGTGTTGAGAGGTATGATTGGCTAAAGGTGACATAATAGTCAACTAGAAACTTTTTTTCCTTCCAAGAGGGAGGAGGCTGACATCCGGGTCTTAGTTGGCACATCAGGATGGAATTCAGGGAGAGCTGTCCCCTTTCCATATACGGCATGGACTTTGGGGTCTGGTCTGTTCTCCCCCTATGGCATCTCTCTGTTCTGTTTGCATGTCCTTGTTTTTCCTTTCTCCAGACTAACAGTTAATAGATTTAAACTAGCTTAGAGATCTATTTATTTCTTCCCCCCCTTAGAAATCTGGTTTTCAGGTTATGGCAGATCACAGGCAAAAATAAGCAGGATGCAGTTGAGGAGGGAAGCTGCTTGGAGCTGACAGCAAATGAGAGCTCAGGGAAAATATTACCAAGAATAGCCTAACAGCCTGTTAACATTTTCATCTCCTTAGCACTTAGGAGCATTATTGTGTTATGATATGGAGCTATGATTGATCATTATAATTGTGATAGTCTTGAGTTATCAGGAAAAATTATGTTATGTCCAGTATTGGTGACTAGTGAGACAGGGAAAAGGTTAGTATGGTTTCAAAAGGTTTCCATGAAAAAAAAAGGTGAATATTTTTGTCCAAAGAGTTAAGCAGATTTTTCATATTTCCTACTGATGCCAGATTAAAAACATATAGCTGCCATAATTATATAGACAATATAACAGTGGTTAAAAGCTCAGCTAGACTGCATGGATTCAAATAACATTTATATTAGTTACTAGCTGTGGAACCTCAACCAAGTCACTTAACTTCTCTGTGTTTCCATTTCCATGTATAAAATGGGGATGATAATAGATAATCTACCCCAGGGTCACTTTACAGGATTACTATGAGGATTAAATTGGTTAATGCATATAAAGCATTTAGAGCCATTTAGCACTTTAAGTACTCATCAGGTGGGTTTATTTTTCTTTTACAATTATTATTGTATGCTAGAGCTAGAATTTTTGCCATTACTATTCTTTTTCTTGTGTAGGTATTTGCTTGGGGCTATAACAACTGTGGCCAGGTAGGATCAGGATCTACAGCGAATCAACCAACCCCAAGAAAAGTTACCAACTGTTTACATATTAAGAGGGTAGTTGGCATTGCCTGTGGTCAGACCTCGTCCATGGCTGTTCTGGACAATGGTGAGGTGAGCAATCTCTGCATTCCATTTTCTCCTCCCACCTCCTCTTTCAACAAAACGTCATTTTCATCATGAGGTGCAAATATGAGATCATGGAAGGAAGAGTGCTGCTTTATTTTGAAAGCTCTATTGATAGTTAACTGGTTATTGACTGAGGAGTAACCAGAGGATATTTGACCCTTTGTGTGTATTTTTAAATTCCAAAATTTATCTGCAAGTAAAGATTCTAATGTGTCTAACTGTTTTTTTTTCAAGATCCGAATAGCCTAATCCTTATAGGTACTTGTGATTTAACATGCTAGATTAAAGAATTTGATACTACCTCTTTCTTCCAATGAAGACATCAACTGTGCGTTCTTTAAAGTCGGCTGATATGTTCATATGCAGTCAGTGTAATTTCTGTAGAACCATCTGCTGCACCTGGAATGTTTTTTCACAGGAGGAAGCAACTTGCACAAGTAGAATTTTTTGTCCTGGTAGTTATATTCTGGTTGCAACTTTTACTTAAATGGAGCTGCCACCATCTAGACAAGTCTTAGTGCACAAACACTGTACAGACACCTGTCTTTGTACACAGACGTATGGAATGATGCATTGGGGTGCTTGAGTGCTTTAGAGTTTAATGAAGACTCACCTGTGTTAACTTATTTTTCATATTAGTCCTGACTTCAGCCGGGATGCCTTCAGAATTCCTTGGGATAGTCATGTAACTTCCTCCATTCCAGTATTTTTCATTTCTCCTTTGTATTGAAAAATAAGCATAGTCCTAAAATTATAATGATATGGTTATTTTAACAAAGGAAAACAAATGAAACATATAAAGTAAAAAGTGAATACTTTCCCCAACCTTGTTGTTGTATATCCATTTAGGCTTGTCTCTATAAACAAGTATATATAGGTTAATATAATTATTTTTTAAAAATGGGTTATTATACCTACTGCTTTTTTCTGCTATTCTACAACTTCCCTGCTTAACAACATATATTCTACCTGAATCTATTATCAGATCATTTATAGCTACTTTCCATTATTGTGGTTGCTTAGTTTTCCTTGTGTGGATGTAGATGAACCATATCCAGAACTCTACTGATAAACATTTCAATTGTTTCTAATTTCTTGCTATTATAAACAATGTTATATAGATTTTCTGTCGTGTGTATGTATCTTTGTACACTTACGCAAGTAAACAGGATTTCTGGGTCAAGGGATTATGCCATTACAATTTTTGCTATCTTTTGCCAGATTTCTCTCCAGAAACTTCAAAGCTATTAAACTTCTGACACTGAAAGTGCTTTTAACCATCTCTTGCTAGTACCCTAAAGTCCATGTCCCCATTCCCCTCTATCACGTTGTCTTGAAAAAGCCCAACTGGTAACTGTTTGCCCTGCATTCCCGTGGGGCATGGTGCCACCATACATCTCGGGTTTCTTATTTGAATTAGACCTTTGTCTGTTCCCTGTCAGTACTTTTTCCCATGTCCCACACTGGCTATTCTGAACCTTTAACTCTCCTGTGAAACCTATACACAGCTCTACTTTCAGCTGATGACTCTCCTCTCATTCCAGGTACCTAAGAGATCACCATATTTCTGTTACATCTCCCTCTTTAATCTCTTTCCTATCCATTCCCTCTCTCTTGGTCCTGCTGTCACTGCCTAGTTTGGACCCTCATCAGAGATCACCTATTTGCTGATGAGAGGTGAATTTATCTACTAAATGGTCTTACTGCCTCTGGTCCTACACAGTCCAGTCAGCCTCCATGTTGCAGCCAGTGTGATCTTTCCTAAATGCAAATTGGATCATTATTAATCTCTGTTTTGAAGTGTTACAGTGGAAGATCCATAGGTGATGTATTCCACTTACCCTGCTATGCTTTTTGGCATTTTACCCCTTTAGCCCTTTCCTTTTAGTCTTTTCTCCTACCACTACCCCAGATGTGTCCAGGCAGGCCTACCTCCGTGTCATCTGAACCTGCTTCAACACATTCTGTTCCCTCTTCCTAAAATACCTTCACCTTCATTCATCCTTCAGCCCTGCTTAAATCTGTGCTTTCTAAAGTCTTACCTAAACTTTCTTCCTATAGCTAAATCCTTTCTCCTCTTTATTCCTCTTGTGCCTTAATATCTCTGTTATAGTACTTGCCGCCAGCTGAAAAAATTGGTATATATGCATCTCTCCTGTTAAACTGTGGCCAAAAACCTATTCTAATACCTTTTACAATGTCCTGACATGGAGTAGGTGACATGACATAGTTGTTAATGAGCCTCAGCTTCCTCATGTGTAAAACAGGAATAAACATCCTGCCCAAGGCTATCTCACAGTAAGTTATGGAGTAGGAACTGAGGCCAAATTCTGTCATCCCCAAAACCAAAATACCTTCTATTTTGAGATCAGTTGTGGGGTCATATAGAGTAGAATATGGGTGTGGAAGGTGAGAAAAGTGTTTAGATGGACTACATTTATCTGTCTGCCTTACTAGCAGATTTAAAAGCCTGTTTTCTCCCTTCCTTTCTCAGGTGTATGGCTGGGGTTACAATGGCAACGGCCAGTTAGGCTTGGGGAGCAATGGCAACCAGCTGACCCCCGTGAGAGTGGCAGCTTTGCACAGTGTGTGTGTGAACCAGGTATGTCTGTCTGTTGGACTCACTGCTTCTCCCATCTGTCTTTCCTGCTCTGAACTGGGGAATCACAGGAGATTTACTCTTCAGTAAATCTTTTCAAACAAAGCTCTCCACCTTCATCTCCCACATTTAGTGTTACACCCTCCCTAAGTTCCCCTGATAAGAAGGAGCATCATGGTAATGGCACATCAGTCTTGACAAGTAAAAGAAGCGATTGGAAAAATCCTGTAGTCTCAGATTTAGGCTTTTCTAATGCTTTTTAGAAATGTTTCAGAGAATGTCAGTCACACCTGCTGATGAATTGGCATTCTGTAGAAGCTGGCTGTCTTGAAATAGATGTTTTCCCTGCCCTTCCTCTTTACCTGTTTATGGTAACCATTTAAATTTACTTGCAGATTGTCTGCGGCTATGCACACACTCTAGCACTAACAGATGAGGGTTTGCTCTATGCCTGGGGAGCTAACACGTATGGGCAGCTGGGAACTGGCAATAAAAATAACCTGCTAAGCCCAGCACACATCGTGGTGGAGAAAGAAAGGTAACTGGCTGTACCATGTTTTGGGATTGTGTGTGTATTTTGGACTTGAGACTGTGTGTGCTGGAGCGGTGGGGTTAGGCTTTATAATTCTCCTGTTTATTAACATTCTCACTTTGAACAAACAGAACTGTGGCCAAACAAACGTTCTCACTTTGAACAAACAAAAAGAGTTTGAGTACCAGCCAGAATGAATATGAAGTTGACATGATTCTCATTCAGTTCTCTAAAGTGACCTCCTTTGGTTGACAGGCATTGATGCATCTTGGTGTGATCCCTACAACCTTCTTACTATATTGCCCACTGAGTGGGGAAGCAAAACAGGGTCTGTCAGAATGTTGAGATTCAAAGGGTAGTACATTTCCTTTGAGCCAATTAAAACAACTTTTAAATAAGTAAAATCTGCTCTTGAAAGGACATTTTCATTTAAATATTGATTTGGTTCGATTCGTGTTACTGGAGTAGATGCTAATGTTTGTTCAGCCAAATTGTGAGGTCTTACTCAATAAGTCTTAAAGAGTATTGACTTCTGTTTCCAGGATCTTGCATAAGAAGCATACTGAAAAATGTTAAGTTTCACTTGATGTCCATTTGGACTAAGATGCTTAGAGTCCATGACCCCTAGACCAGTGCTTATTTAAAGGATGAGAGAAGAAGTTTTATCAAGGAAGTGATATATTGAAGACAGTGTTTTTTTGCTACTGTCTAAGCCCTCCAGACTGTCAGGATTTTTTTTATTGTCTGCTTTCCTCATTTACTCAGTACCCCTTTCCAAGTTTTCCTCAACTGTTTGTGTTTTTTATCCTAATTCAAAATGAAGTTAGAAAGAGAGTGGGGGAACCAGGAAGGAAGAAACACAGTTCTCTTGCTCCAGTCTTCTGGTTTTGTCCATTGGACTTGGCAGCTAATGTCCCTTCATCTTGGGCTGTTTTTTGAGCTACTCCACACATGAACCTTTTATTTACCTTGTGTGATGTTACTCCACACATGAACCTTTTATTTACCTTGTGTGATGTGATAAAGAAGTGACATGCATTTTTCTTAAAACTTCCAGGGTTGTAGAGGTTGCAGCCTGCCACTCTGCCCACACATCGGCTGCCAAGACGCAGGGTGGGCACGTGTACATGTGGGGCCAGTGCCGGGGCCAGTCAGTGACCCTGCCCCACCTCACCCACTTCTCCTGCACTGACGATGTGTTCGCCTGCTTCGCCACTCCTGCCGTCTCGTGGCGCCTCCTGTCTATAGGTGAGAAAGCTCAAAGCTGCTTCCTTACAGGAAGAATGGTACTGTCAACTGACCAGTTTTTCTGCGTATTTTACTTGCTGTGGGCAATATTAAGTTCTAGAATGTTTTGTTCTCCATTAGCTTTAATATCTTTTCTCAAATTAGAGTTGCATGTTAAACTTTACTATTATGTTATGAAATAACGTGTGGACTTACTATTTTCTCCCTTTAAGTGCTTTCAAGATGAAACTCACATAAAATTAACCATGTTAAAGTCTGCAATTTATAGGCATTTAGTACATTCACAGTGTTATATAACTACCATTTATATCAAGTTCTAAATAGTTTCTTCATCCTAAAAGAAAACCCTGTACCCATTTAGCAGTTGCTCCTTATTCTCCCTTCCCCTAACCCCTAGCAATCACCACTTTGCTTTTTGTTTCTATGGCTTTGCCTATTCTGAATATTTCATACAAATGGAATCATGAATATGTGACCTTTTTGTGTCTGGCTTCTTTTACTTAATGCTTGTGAGGCTCATCCAGGTTGCAGTATGTATGAGGACTTGATTCCTTTTTATTGGATCTGTGCAATCAACCTCCAAATAACCGGGAGACGCGTGGATGCAAAAGCAAGAGCGTTTATTGGGTAGCCAGCATGCTGGGGTCTCACACTTGCAGGTGGAGACCCCAAAGTACAAGTTTGTTCTTCTTTTATACACAGGAATGGGGTTGTGCACAGAGTGGGCCATGTGCAGAACGGGCAGTGCACAGAACGGACCGTGTGCAGAACGGCCCGTGTGCAGAATGGACTGTGCACAGAGCAGGCCGTGTGCAGAATAGACCGTGTGCAGAGCGGGTCGTGCGCAGAGCGGGCCCTGTGCAGAATGGACCTAGATATGATCTGACCTTTACTGCAGTTGGTCCCAACTTGTCACTTATAAAATGGAGTAGCTTATGTTAAGACTCTTTAGTCAGGACTCTTCATTCCCCCCTTGAGTTTTATTCTACTTCAAATCTTTGAAGTAACAGAATCTTCCTTACTCAAGGGCCTGTACTGAGATCTAAGGACCATGAGTTGGATGGTGGAGATCCATTTCTGTACAAATAAGGCAGGGGCCACATGTAAGAGCTAGTATCAGAAGAGGGGACCTGCTACTGCTGATAATAAAGTTGTTAGCCATGGGGACCAACTGAAAAGGCTTCTTGGACCTGAAACAAAGCTTGTAGGGAGGAAAGAAAGTTTTTATCATTTTGCTCAGCTATCAGATCAGCTCGCAAATTGGGAAGGATTGGGGGGGAGGCCTGCCAAACAGGATTTCAAACAGGGTCATGCCCAATCTATAGGGAGTGTTCCTGACCCTGAACAGAGCAAAGGGGAGGAGAGTCACCGAGTCACTGCCAGTTTCTAGGGTTAATTTGGTTAAAATCTCCTTAATGGTCCGATTCATCCTTTCTACTTGACTTAAGCTTTGGGGATGATATGCACAGTGTAGCTTCCAATTAGTCCCCAATATATGACTCAGCCCTTGTGTTACCTGAGAGACAAAAGCTGGTCCGTTGTCTGATCCAATAAAAGCAGGAAGGCCATACCTTGGAATAATGTCTTCCAGGAATTTCTTGGCAACTACTACAGCAGTAGTTTCTCTTTTCGTTGGAAAGGCTTCTACCCATCTGGAAAAGGTATCTACCTAGTTCTGCAAAGCCAGGAATCCAGAGGCGGCAGAACCCCACTGTCCCCAAGAACTCTCTGACAGCCTGTTTACAGTCTGGCCTTGGTAGCTGGAAAATAGTCTCTTTTCTGGCCTGAGATAGCCATCGGCGTCCCCCCTTGAGTTTGTATCCCAAGTAGGTGACTTCTTCTAAACAGAGTTGACCTTTTTTAGCAGACACTCGGTACCCTTGTTTTCCCAGTGTCATAAGTAAATCTTTAGTGGCTGCCTGGCATTCTGTTTCTTTCCGGGCAGCTATTAGTAGACCATCTACATATTGAAGCAGGCTCACCTCTGGGTGCAAATGCCGGTACTCACTCAGATCTTCGTGGAGGGCCTCGTTGAAGATGGTCAGTGAGTTCTTGAATTCCCCTCCACATTCAGGGTTACCCAAGGCTTGGGGAGGGGGACCGAACCCTGTCCCCCTCAGTCGTCAAAGCCTTCTATCTGGAGGACCTTGGGTTGTTTCCTGGCTTCTCTCTTGGGGCATTCATTTTTCCAGTGGCCTCTCTCTTTGCAGTAGACACACTGGTCTCTCTGCAGTGGGTTCCAGCCCTTGAGGGAGGCTTTGGGATCTTAAGGGCCCCGTTGTTCAGTCAGCCTTTTTAATTCTTGGTTCTGGGCAGGACCTTCTAACAAATTAGCCAACAAAATCTTAGCCAGCCCGTGGGTCTGTCGCTCTTTTGGGGTGTCTCAGTTATTAAACACTTTCTCAACCACTGCCAAAAGTTCAGCTAGCCTTTTTCCTCAAAACCTTCTAATCTTTGTAACTTCCACCTTATGTCTGGGGCTGATTGATTAACAAAGGCCAAACTTACCGTGGACCAGTTTTCAGCAGCTTCTGGGTCCAGGGGAGTGTAGGTCCTTTAGGCTTCCAGCAGTCTCTCAAGGAAAGCTCCAGGAGGTCCTGTGGGCTCCTGTTTCACCTGACTTACTTTAGACAAATTGGTGGGATGGCATGCTTGCCACCCAGAGACCCCCCATCAGAATCTGGCAGTAGACAGTGAGCCTCTCCTTACTCTCGTCTGTATTGAAATCCCAGTTGGGTCTACTCGAGGGGAATCTGATGTTTATAATATCTTAATCCGTGGTTGGTCTCCCATCAACCCCTGGGACTAGTTTCCGGGCTTCAGTCAGGACTCTCTCTCTCTCTTCAGTAGTGAAGAAGACCTGGTCGGGGTGCCCAGGACATCCATATACAAGGTCCTTGACCCTGAAAATGGTGGGGAGATCAAACATGCCCTCCTCAGGCCACCCGACTCCGAACTTAGGCCATTCGTTCCTGCAAAAGATAGAAAGTTTACCCTTTTTGACAGCAAGAACAAGATTTTTAGCCTGGGTTTGAATGTCACTGAAGCGAGATACAAAGATAGAGGAGTAGAGGGAGGAGATTGCGACTGGCCCATGCCAAAGAGAAACAAGAGGACAAGACAGACAAATATGAGTATACATACAGAGAACACAATGTTAGGGTGCCTTTTTCCAAAAAGAAACCAGATGAAGAGGGACGGCCTCTCCCGTAAAAGGGCTCTGTCACGCTCTCCAAATAGAAACCAGGTGTGGGAGGATGGCCTCCCATAAAAGGGCTCCGTCAGGGAGTGACCTCCTGTCTCCAACCAGACTGAAAAATAAAAGCCCAAAAAACAGAAGTGAGCGAGGGACGTCTCCGTGCTCACCAAGGTGCGGGGAAAAATAGTGCATCCACCTAGGCCCTGGACCACCAGATCAGGTTTCTGCCAATAAACTGCACAAATACAAGGACACAGCACATAAACAGGCAATCAAACACTGCAGTCACACTCACACTTACCCACACGCTCCGCATGGTCGCCGGTTATGGGAGCATGATCCCGGATGAGCCCCCAAATGTTGGGTCCATGCAATCGACCTCCAAATAATTGGGAGATGTGTGGATGCAAAAGCAAGAGCGTTTATTGGGTAGCCAGCATGCTGGGGTCTCACACTCGCAGGTGGAGACCCCAAAGTACAGGTTCTTTCTTTTATACACAGGAATGGGGTTGTGCGCAGAGTGGGCTCTGTGCAGAATGGACCTAGATATGACCTGACCTTTACTGCAGTTGGTCCCAACTTGTTACTTATAAAATGGAGTAGCTTATGTTAAGACTCTTTAGTCAGGACTCTTCACTTTTTATGGCTGAATAGTATTATATTGTACAGATATACTGTATTTTGTTTGCCCATTTATCTGTTGATGCCCATTTGGACAGTTCCCATCTTTTGACTGTTGGGAATAGTGCTGTTATGAGCATTCATGTACAAATATTTGTTCTTAAGTGCTTTTGTTATACCAAATATATTATATAATTCAATATAATATGACCAAAAATAAACTTTAAAAATACTGAAGAACTTGTGGTTAAGATGACATGTGAACTCCACTTTGTTTCTCTTTTTTTCTTTCACTGAATCTCAAATGCTTTTATTTCAGAATGGTATCAAAACAGAGATTTTATAAAGCATAGTAGAATTCAGGGTGATCTTTTACGGAATCTGTCCCTTTTCTGAATATTGTCTTCTTCAAGTGTCCATTACTGATTGAGAATGTTAAGATGTCATAAAGCTGAGTAGCCATTAACATGACAATTTAAATCTCTTTTTCTTGGTTTCTTGTTCATTTCTGCCTTTTTGCCAATGTATTTCTTCTGAGTTCTTTCATTTTTATGTTGAGGGAATAAGTGGACCATGGTGCTCTGTGCTTGAAAATTAGCTCTTAACAACCCAGAGCTTTTGGGATGCTCAGCAACTGACAGTGAAGCCTAGTCTTACAACACAAGTCATTCTCATGTAGGGCAGGCAGCTGGAGCTGTCCGGTGATCAGGTGACCAGTCATTCTGGTCATGGGGCAAGAGTATGTTTAAGAAGAGTTAAGCTGCTGCTCAACTTAAAGTGAAACAAATTGAACGTTTCCAGGTTCTTTATAATTTTTTGCTGTGAATACTGTGATTAGAAAAAATGTATCATAGAGAGGGCCTATTTGGCCATAGTTACACATATGTATGGTGTACACCCTCTGTGCGCATGTTCCAATTTCCTTATGATACTTAACCTGACCTGTTTATAAAAGGCTCTCCTGGGTTCTTTGCATGTTAAAGTCTAGTCCTGAGAAGACAGTCTCTTCAGAACAAAGTCTAACATTTTTTTTCAAAGTCTAACATTTTTTAAATGTTAAGTTTAGAAAAAATATGGTCATTGAATCTATCTCCTAAGGATTTCTTTCCCTTCCACCCACTAAAAGTCAGAAGTGTTTTTTTCTTCTCAGTGTATGATCTCACTTGAGTGTTAGGAAGAAAGTAAGATGGTGAATTCATACCCCTGAAGAATATTTCTTCTCTGAAAGGAAGTATTATACTTGTTATCCAGAACTGAAAGGAGGAGAGAGTTATTTCACACTTAAACTAGATGCAGTGAGATGCCATGCAAGCCATAGTTGGGATGGATGGGGAGTGGTCTGGACCCCTGGACTCCTTGTCTATTGTAGCCATCTCCTTTCTTTTATTTGCTGGGGATCCAGGTTACAGAGTCGGGAAAGCCAGACTTTTGAGAGACTGTCCACATTTCCTCCATAGTCTAGAGCTCTCTGCTTTGAGTGGGGGAGGGTGTGTAGGGTAAAGTAACAGGGCATGGGGCAAATGATATTTCCTTGGAAGATTCTGACAGCAAGAATCATGAAAAAGCATATTTGTTAAGTTTCAACCTTGGTTTGAGCAGTTGTCCCTCCTCTAAGAGTTGCCCCGGTAGCTGCAGGCTGCTGAGAGACAGCTTAGTTCTCTAATGGAGTCACCTTCTTACCTTGTGGGCAGTCACTGGCTGATTCCTGTGTCCATAGTACCAGTACCTTCGTTCATTGCTGACAGTCTCTGGAATTTTTTTACTTCCCTGTAAGCCTTTTTCTGCTTTTTTTTTCCTTTTGTGCATACATATAAAGTACAAGAAAGTGTATAATTTGTACAAGTGTCTTTGCTTTTCTTCACAAGGACACAATTCTAGTTACCTGTGATCATAACAGCTTTTCTCTGTCTTATCAGGCAATACGTTCCCTTGGAATATACATTTTACTAAGTAGATTTACTCTGTTTTTAGACAGTGTGTAAGGATTGTTATTTGTACATTAATTTTTAGGGTTAAGAGGGATGTTTAGATTCCACATACCTAGGAAAAAGTATGCATCTTACCACATGCATTACTGCTTAAGTGGTGAGTTTGTTTCTTGACACTCCTTGGGTTGAATTTACCAACCGACTGAAACTACCCGAAAGAGGAGCAAAGTTGTTCTTAGTGTATCAGTCAAGGAATATTGGTAAATTCTTAGCTCTAAAAGAGAACACCTCAAGTTTTGAGTGAGTAGTTACATAATCATGGGCTATCTGTAACTTTTTCTTTAAAAAAATACAAATTTTTTTAGTATCTGTATATTTAAGACTGGTATTTGGCCTTTCCAAACATTTTTGGTGGTTTATAGACTCAAGATACTTATTTCAATACAGTGAAATTGATTTGTCAAATAAGGCATAAACTCTTTTGAAAAAGTTGTCTAATGTAATTATTTATCCATAGTGGTACTAGCTATCTTTTTGAAGTATTCCAAATCTTGAGTATGTTTCCTGGGCTTTCTGTATTAATAATGTGTCTGTTGCCTTCAGAACATGAAGACTTTTTAACAGTTGCAGAGTCACTGAAGAAAGAATTCGATAGTCCAGAAACTGCTGATCTGAAGTTCCGAATTGATGGGAAATATATCCATGTCCACAAAGCTGTTTTGAAAATCAGGTATTTTTGCATGAGCTTAGGGACATTAAGAGTCTTCTTTTTGCAATCCTCATTTCTTTGTTATTCCACAAATGAGGACTGATAAGAAATAGCCTTAGTAGTAGAGAGGAATGGCACAATATTTTTGCAGGTAGTATCAATCCATTCAGTATCGGCAAGTTTTGCATGTGTGTGTCCACTCATGTGCCTTTTCAAAACATAGTGTGGTAGTGTAAATATTTGTGTATATATATTTTTTGAAGCAGAGTAAAAGTTTTATTTAAAGTTACTTAGAGAGAAAGTGCAGGCGACCTCAGAGAGAGAGAGGAGCACCCTGAAAGGTTGGGAAAAGTTAAAGTTATGCACTTACAGAGTGCAGACAACCTCAGAGAGAGGAGTACCCTGAGAGGTTGGGGGTTCCCCCTTTTAAGGATTTTTCAGGAATGTGACAAAGAGCTAGGGTGGGGCTTCTTAAGTGGTCTCAAATATCTTTGATGAGACATTAAGTTTCTTATCAGTCCTCTAGGTAGTTCTGCAAAAATCAGCTTATCAAGACTGTCTGCCCTTCCTCCAAGGTGGGCAGAGTTATTTGTTTGCTAAAGAGTATGTTAAGAATCTTCTTAAACTTCCTGTTTTTTTTTTTTCAAAATGCAATTTTGTCTTTAAGGTGGGATCTTCCTGTCTTTATTATGCTGTTTATAGGTGGGCCTTTCAGCAGGCTACAGTAAATCTTACAAGGATCTAATTAACACAAGGAAGACATGGGCTGTGCTCAGATACTTTTCTTTATCTGAGGAATATTCAGACCTTCAAGGCCAAGTTGCTCTTGACCTTTTGAGCTTTAACTGATTAACTTTCACTCTGAGTCTTTTCTGGCTTTCTAGTTTTAACTGGTTAACAGTCCTTTCTAGGGGGTTTTACTGACCTTGTTCTCTTTCCACCCCGCTCATATCTATTTTCCTGCCTAGCATTCCCTCCTCAAGCAGTTGGGACCCAAATCATTGGAGTGAGGGGCAATGATTGCTCTGGCTGCTTCCTGCTTGTGAGGGAAAGTGTAGTTATTTGGGTCCCCCTGCTTGCTGACTGTCGGGATGATTAGGACAGTAAGGACACCCAGTTAGGGGTTTTAGCTGCTTGCTGTTTGTTGAGGCAAGGAGGACTCAGACTGGTTGTAGGGGTGTCTGTCAAGTGGTCTTATGAAGATGGAGGTGTTGTTGTCATTGGAGGGTACAGGTTGGAATCCTTGTCTTAGGACCATCTGCAGTTTGATTGCTTCTAGGCAATAAGACACAAATTGGATTCGAAGGTTGTTAGGGTCTGGAGTCGACCACCTCTCAAATAGACAGAAGACACTCATGATAATGCAAGTCACACAGCGAGGTTTATTTCCAGCTAGCTGGGGTCCAAGTGTCTGCCCAATGCAGCGGGTTTCAACAAGGACCCAGAGCACTCAAAGCCAGGGGTTTATATGGCATTTTTCAAAAAGTACTTACTCACAGTAATTTTCCATAAATTTTGGCTTGTGCTGCATGCTGGGGGTTAAGCAAAAGCAAGATAAGACCACTCCTCAAATGTTAGGGTGGTTCAGCAAGATAAGCTGACCAGTCGCAACCGCCCACAACCCGGTATGCATGATTAGCTGACCAAGGGTCACAGCCGCCCACAACCCGGTGTCCATGATTAACTTGTTCTTTAAAACCTGTTTATTAAGCCTCACCCAGTTCTTCCTTTCCTGAGTCGTGTACTCAGAAAATGGCCCTTAAGATGGCCATTCTCATGCTAACTCATTCTTACATTCTCCCCTTTTCTTGTTGTTACAATGTGGAATCTTGCTCATTGGTAGGGTAGTTGTAGAGGCTCTCAGGAGGGGGCAACTTTTCGTATTGTTGTCTAAAGAACAGAAGTTGGACGGTATTAATACGGTCTTACAAAATTAATAAGCTTGTCTCAACGTAGTTTTGTTGTGCTTCTCTTTTTCTCTTTCTCTTACTTTAGTCACGGATTGTTTTACTACTCTTGTATGATCAGCTTCTATTTTGGAGTACGACTTCGGATAGGGAGGTGAGAAATTTTTCGAGAATATGAAAAAACTTAGGGGTGTGGACTTGTTAAGTGGTCTCTGAATATTAAAAATTAACTTAACATAAAGAATTTTCTGCCTTGATTTCTCTCCGGGACACCAGCGCCTTGGTCTGGGAGCACATTAAAAGGCTCCCTGCCCAGCTCTTAAGGTGGGCTGAGGTATTGTCTACTTGCTAAAGAATCTTGCCTCTTGAACTTCCTGGGTGTTAAAATGCAATCTCATCTCTAAGATGGAATTCTCCCTGCCTTTTACTATGCCATCTACAGCTGGGTCTGCATGCTAAGCTAGTTGCTCAGTTCTGCAAAATTACCCTGTCAGGTCCAAAGGAGGAAAGACAGCGCACAGGCCCAGGCCTTTCAGCATGCTAAAGTGAGTCATCTTCTACATGGTTACAAATGATTAGCATAACAAAACATATGCTACTCTTCTTTATCTGGGGAATACCAATTGATTTCACTGAAGAATAATTCTAGAGCTCAATGTTTAACATAGAGTTTCAGCAGGGGGGTTTCTTTGCATGTAGCTACACTGCTCTTAACTGCAAATATCTCGCCCTGCACCCTCTAGAGGCCCTCACTCTACTCTGTCTAAGCCCACGGTCCCTGTCTCATTCTCCCCTATACAGATAGAGACCCTAGCTGCTCCTAGGGAAAGGGGCGATGACCGCTCTGGCTGCTTTATGCTGAGAGGGGGCGCCGTAAGGGGTGCAGCCAGGTCTCTATCACTGGTCAGTTGAGAGGGCCTCAGAAGATTGGCGCCTTCACTCCAGGTTCTATTTCTACTACTATTTGCAGTTTTGTGGCTTCTAGGCAAGACAGAACAAATTATGGCATTAAGTTAAGTAGCAATATCTGGAGTTGGACCCCCCTACTCTGGAAGGACAAACCTGATGAGACCAAGAATGCATGGTTGAATATGAGAACTAGAAACAGCAAAACTCTAATTGTAATGATAAGAGAAAACTAAAACATCTGGAAAATTATAGCCAGATATTTTGAAGAAGCCTGAACTCTGGATCTAGTCCGTGTCCCAATGACCAGTACTAGGACCCAGCATGGACAAGGCTGCACTATTGAAACAATACCTCTCTCTAAAATCACCCTCATTCTCACTAAAAGTAACCAGATTAAGAAAATAACACTTGGTTCTATTATTTGCATAAGTACAGCAAGAAGAGTAATTGATTACATAGGCTCTTTTAAATGTGCTTTGCTGGAACTTTTTGCAAGGAATTTCAGATCGAACTTATAGGCCACTTGCACCCAGACAGCCAAGCCAGACTTGCCATCAGGTTTTGCCTTCAGTACTTGTAGGTTTGGGTGAATTCTTCTCTTTTCGAGGTCCCCAAGACATCTTGAGGTTCCTGCACCTGCCAGGAAGTGACTTTCTTTACTCACCTGTAAGGCTGCTGGGAACTCTAAGCAAAGTACCAGGCCAGTTCCTCCAAGGGGCTTTGTTGGCTTTATAAAGTCAACCTTAGTTCCTTAAAGCTGTTCATATCTGACTTTATGCACGTGTATCTCAGGTATGACATTTCAGTTAAATCTTTGGTAATATAACTTGTATTTTTAATTGGTCCTCTGACAGGGAAAGCAGGTTCTTATTGAACTTCTGCAAATAAACATACTGCCATGAAATATAAAAATACTGAAAGCTTTTAAATTCTTGAGGGGTCAGGTAGAGAGAAAGATAAATGTTTCAATTCTGCTTATAAAGGTATTGTCATTTACGAAACTCTTGTCAGTCAGCTTAAGAGAAAAAACTTTAAACACTTTATCAGCGACAGTTGAAACAAAAAGCCACAAAATCATCTTTTTTAGTTTACTTAATCTTATGTAACTAATACCTGTTCTGCTGAAATCTAGTTCTTTACTAGTTTAGTAGTAATAAAACAGTGACTATAAATGACAAAAGACTTACAAATGACGATGGTTAAAGATCTGATGAGAGCTTACTATAAGACAGCTGACACATGGAAATTTTGACATTTTTGTAACACAAAACATTCAGTAACAAAGTTTAGCATCATTCCTCTTGACAGTGCTTCCCAGACAATTAAGCAGGTAATTATATATAAGATAAATAAGCCAAATTAGCCAAATACTTTCTCTAATGAGAAAAATTTCCTCTAACATGTTCCAGGGGCCTTCTGGAAAATGTCAGTTAACTAGAAGTAAAAACACTTTTTTTGAATTTGATTTTGGGAAACTGTCAGAAAGATTTTTTGCACTTCCTTAAATAAGATTATAGGTTGCCATGAAGCAATACTTATCTATTTAACTAGAATGACAACAAAATACCTCAAAGGTGTCGCGACCCTTCAGGGACGGAAGCAACACGCCCAAGGTCTTGATTCTTCTCTAGGCTTTATTGTCTAATCTCTTGTGGTGGTTACAGCAGTTGTCAGGGTGCTTTTTTTCCTCCCGGCGGGCTCCCTTATATTCAGTCACCCAACCAATCCAGGACAGTATCATGCTTGACCTTTAAGCGGATAGGTGTCACGCGCCACTCTTAAGCGGGCAGCACGAGTTGTGCACGGGTACGGAAGTCTGCTGGGCCAATCCCCAACAGGGAAGAGGGGAAAGGGTGGTGAGCAGGAAGCAGGCGCCATCTTTAGGGCATTGTCCAGCTAGAGTGGGGCTCAGCCTCAGCCGTAGGCCGGTCCCCCACAAAAGGCAAATGCAAAAGGTTACACAGTTGTTAGCAAAATTTAGCTTTTAATCTTTTAATAGTAAGATCTTATTTTCTTAAATACTCTGACAGCTCATTGAAACTTTAAGCATGAGAAACTGCTTTGATAGAACAGAGAACTCTTGGCAATCTTTCAATATTAAGAGCAGACTAACAGTTTAGAAAAGAAAAGAAAATTCTTTTTGCTGTGTACTTGATACCAAGACTCATTTGCTTTAATTCTATATAGCATGACCATTTTAAATTCTTCCATAAACTTTCTACAACTTTCTTTTTACATTTAGAGTTCTTCTTCTTTAAATAAACAGTTGTACTTTAGAACAGTTGCCTTCTTTTACTTTCAATAAAATGAATTTCTATTCTTTATACCTTCTGTTACTTTAAGCAATTTTAATTAGAACTTAAAACTATTATTAGGTACTTTAATTTTTAGTGAACACTGAGGAGTAGGCTATTGTGAACTGTTATGCTAGCATTTTTTTGATTGATAAATTTATGAACACATTTTATAATTTTTGGAATCATGTGCTTTACAGCACAGTTTCTCACTAAGCACAAAATGTTTACTAAGCAAAATCTTAGACTACCTGTAAGTATACATGAAAGGAAAGGAGCGAAACACAGCAGCAATTCACCGGAGAATTCCGCTTTATTAGGGAAAGGTGTTGGGTTATACAGGAAGGGGCATAGGGTGATTGTGGTGTTACTTCTACAGGGCTGGTGGCTGTTAGCTAGGTGCTGGGATTGGGAGGGGGGCGAGAGGTGATTGGGCTTCAGGTGGTGCTGGCGGGAACCGATGACCCCAAAGAGAAGCCGGAAGTTCGCCATCTTACTGGTGGGGGCCCTTCATTCCCCCCTTTCTCCTCTGTGGGGTTGTGGACATTGCTTTCTCTCTGACTGCTTCCTGCTGAACAGGGGCAGAGAAGGGAGTGAGGGCTTGAGGATTGGGAGGAAAGGGTTGATAGGACTCCCCACAGTAAGGATGAGTAGATGTGGACTTCTTCAGGTTGGAAATCAATGAAGGTTCCCTGTAACCATAGGTCAAGGACCTGTTGATTCCAATGGTGCCAAGAGGATATGGGTGTCAGGAGCCAGGCGTCTGTGGCCATTGTTTCCAGGAACAGTTTCCAGTGGAGAGAGGGGTCCATCTCAGCATGTGGTGAGGAGGTCACGTGAGGGTGAGGGATCTTCTGTGGCCAGAAGCTGGTAGTTCCTGAGTAAAAGCTGGTTGAAAGCTTGATTAGAGATTTTTCCGACTTGGGATTTGATGAACTTTATTATACAGGGTAAGAAGAGACAGGCGAGAAGAATGATTATTATGGGGCCTGCAATGGGCCAGAGCCAGGTGAGGAGGGGGTTTGTTAGTATTGACGAGAATGGGTTGGAATTGGAAGCAGAGTGGAGACTGGAGGCAAGGTCGGTGAGTTTGGTAATGTCAGTTTCTACAATGCCAGATTCGTTGATGTAATAGCAGCACTCTTCCCAGAGGAAGACGCAGGTGCCGCCCTTCTCGGCTGTAAGCAGATCTAGGGCCCGCCGGTTTTGAAGGGTGACTTTAGCTAGCGAAGTGACCTGTCTTTGGAGAGAGGCTAGGGAATCGGCAGTGGATGTCAGGGCTCCCTCAAGTTTGGCGTTGAGATCTCTAACTGCCTATAGAGAGTGACCCAAGGCTTCTCCCGAAAACCCTGCCCCAATGGCTGAGGTGATCAAAGAGCTACTGACCATGATGGGAAGGAAAGCAGCTCTTTTTGTGCGCGAGGGCAAGGGAGGTTGGAGCTCAAGGAATTCTGCCATGCTGTAAAGTGTTAACTGTGGGATTAGGGTGACGAGAATGCAGGGTGTATCGGAGTTGAGAGGCAGTGAGTTGAAAAGACTGCCATTACACTAAAAGAAGTGTCCCGGTTGCGTAAAAGTCTTAGAGCCGGAGGTAGGGGTGTAGATAGAGAGGCAGTGAAGTGCGCTGGAGGGGGGTGGAGTTGGGCCTACACAGTGGTGGATGGTGAGATTATCTGCGTATTCTGGTTCCCATAGGGGTATGTCTGCCAGGGGGCAGAGGGGTTGTCTTTCTGCATGGAAGGAGTAGTTGGAAATATTAAGGGGCACGGCGGCCAGCAGTGGGCGCTGTAGTGATGCGCACAAGAAACAATTGGCTGTGTTAAGGGTGTGGTTGAGAAAGATGGTGGTGTCCTGAATGAGCTGTAATGAAGAGTAGGAGAAATGGGAAGAGGGGTGGGGATAAGAAGATGAAGAGGCGCTATCAAGAGTTTGGATAATGACTTTTTCGGAATGTCTGCTATCTGATGCAACTTGAGAGATCTGGGAATGAGAGGGAACATACTTTCGAGAGATATGAAGGGTACTGTGGGGGGTCGAGGACCCCCCGTAGTAAACTGAGGCTGTGACTCTGGCAGCCCATCGAGAGTCCCAGGGATCTGGGATTGATAAGGAGAATGAGCCGTTGGGATATTTCATGAAACGGTTGGAGGAGTAATACTGTGGGTACTGGAAGTTACCCATGTAGTGAATGGCGCAAGACCAGTAGGGACATCTCCTGTAGGTGTCTGGCCATCGCCTGCAATAGGCTTGTTTTTGGTCATAGAGGAAGCAGAGGTAGGGAGAATAAGGGTAGCTGCTAGTGAACACTTCAGTGGAGGGAGGAAAGTGGAGGTATAAAGGCTCAGAGCAGCTTTTCAGAGGGCAGTCTGGTGTGGCAATGAGGGCAGTAACTTTTGTTTGATGCTGTGTGTAAGTCTGTCTGACTTTGAATCGCCATACAAAGGAGGCTGGGGTGGTGGGGAAGACAATAGGAATGAGGAAAAAAAGCGAGAGAGCAGTAAAGGAGGAAAAAGTCATGATTCGGGTATGGATGGCAAAGGGGGTGAATGGGATTTTGGAGGAAAGAGGACAGTAAGGTCAGGAGTCTGGAGGGAGGGAGAGT